CAGTTCAAATGAATCCCCCTCTTGTAGTAACCAATCACCCCTCCCCAACTTGTTCCCACCAGTGAATGTGCTAATCATGTTTTAGAGTTGTTATTTGATTTTTCCCGCAGTGTGTGATGATTTGCTAAGAGATGCTATGATGTATGTGGGGGTCCCTGCCTTCTCCAAAGAGTGTATAAAACTGCTGCAAATCCTGGGCTCGGGGCCTGTCAGTGTCACCAGTTGCTGTGTGTGAGCGGAGGACCAAGCTAGCTCGAAATAAACACCTCTTTGCTGTTTACATCGATCTTGGTCTCTAGTGGTCTTTTGGGGGTCCCGAATTCAAGCATAACAATAACACTAAAATGGAGCAAATTAAACTCATGCTTGAATAATTACAGCAAATGAACCCCAACAGCATGTATGACTATAATGAACAAATGAAAAAAAATCAGCATGCTTTATTTGTAATGGAATAAGGAACGAAAGAATAAGTTTCTATAATTTATCCACAAAGCTAAACACATGTTGACTTAGCAGAGAAACCTTTTAATTATAAGAGCAAAAGAAGTAGCTATCATTACTAGATAGTGTATATCAAGAAACTATAACACTATCATAATAATCAAGGATTCACAGTATAAAAAAAATCCATAGATGAATCCATATAATTGTTTTTGTCTTGTTGTTGTTTGTTTATTTGGTACCAGGGATTAAACCCAGGGGTGCTTAACCACCAAGCTTCATCCCATTTTTTCTGAAATTTTATGTAGAGATGTGGTCTCACTGAGTTGCTTAGAGTCTTGATAAGTTTTTGATGCTGGCTTTGAACTCCCAATCCTCCTGCCTCAGCCTTCAGGGCCTCTGGGATCAAGGTGTGCGTCACCCAGCCCAGTTTATTGGCATCAGATCAATATTGGCATCAGATTCACCATTTTAGGTCAGGAGCCATTTTATCTAGAGGCTTTTAAATTTCCATTTTGAGGCAACACTGCTTAGCTTCCCACAAGAACATTTGAGCTCTGAAGGATCCAACCCCACCCTGGATTATGACCCAACCCCTAAAGGGCTTAGAGAACTCCTCCTCCAGCTAAATCCTGCCCTGGGAGGGCTGAGGCTTTGCCTCCTGCTACTGACAATAAAGCTCTGGCTTGGAATTCCGGGGTGTGGCCTGGTGTTTGGACTTTGCCTGGACATTGCAAGTGTCCTTTCACGGCTGAAACTTGTACTCTTAAATCCAGTAGAAAGGTCTGTATAAATCCGACCATATCTAGGCCAGTCTCAGCAACTTAGCTACACCCTGTCTCAAAATAAAAAATAAAAAGTACTCACGTAGCTCCAAAACAACCACTAGCAAAATTAAGCTTCTCTTCTTGTCAGCAAGATTGTTACAAAGAATGTCAGCAGTATTTTTCCTCCAGAGCGCTCACTGTGGGTTGAGCTTGCTCTTTCTTGTAAAAGCCAAGTTTGCAGACAGGTGTCACAGACTGTCTCAGGGAGCTTGCTGAACAGAAGCTTCGCTTTTGTTTCCCTTGGTAACAACCTGTGTCACCTACAAATATGGGATAAGGAGTAGCTGCCCTGTAACCACGCACTGACTATAAATCTCAGAGAATTTCCCTACCAGGGTCCCCGCATTGCTCCCTCTGGAGGCTGCGACTTAAGTAAACCTGCTGCCCGCGAATTCCTCAGGTGCCGCCCCCTCCTCCCTACATCAGAACCAGGGATGGAGCTCCTGGTAAAGCACCCTGCGGAAGGAAGGTTGGGGAGGAGGGAGAAAAGGCAAGAAAGTCAGCTAGCTCAAGAGGACGGCGGCAGCGAGGCCCAGAGCCACTGCTCCTCTCCTGCAGGAAAATCCCAGGTGGAGAGACTTCTCAGACCGCCATCCCACCTGTCAATCACCACCCACCCGGGAAGACCGCGGCTGCTGACTCTCTAGGGCTAGCTGAGGGGTGCAGCAGGCTGGGAAGGAGCTCCGCTGCCGATAAGCTCCCGACCTAGCTGGCCAGGGGGACTGAGGGGGCGCTGCCAGGAGGAGGGCTCAGGCCGCGGAGCCCGGAGTCCCCAGCAGCTCCTGGCCCCGCCGCAGCCAGTCCCGCGGTTCCAACGACCTCCCTCCCCGGGCTCAAGAGGCCCCGCCCCGCTCACCATTTCCTGGCGCTCAGGAGCCAGGCGGCCACCAGGGATCTTCAGCACCCGCAGGGCAAAGCCAGCGGGACCCCAGGGCTGGCCACGGAAGCCGAAATCGCGAGAAGGGCGGCTCAGAAGGAAAGGGCACGGCCAGACGCGGAAGCCGCCCTGGCTGTGCCGGGATTGGACGGTTCTCCCCGAGTGCTCTCTCCACTGCACAGGGCTGCAGACCCGCCCCGCAGGCTGAGCCCAGAGAGCTTTCTTTCCGAGTGACAGTAGATGACATCCAACCTAGGAATCAGTGAGGCCAGAATGACAGGTTCCTGGCGGCAGCTTTTACTTTCCTCCTGATGTCTGTGAATTGAACAAGAGGGCCTCAGACTACAGCTAATCAAAGGCAAAGTTTCCTCTTAAAAGAGTGATCTAGCARCTCCAGAGGACGTGTGCGATGAACCTCGCATACAAGGTGACTTCACCTTATGAATTATATGTCTGCATTGTATTCACTGGAAATAATATAATAATATAATGACTTTGCAATTTCACTTAACTTTCCTGCTCTCTCACCCTGTGAGTCTGCAGATTGGCCTGGGAAGCAATCCCCTAAGGCAGCAACGGCCAATGAAAATCCTATGTGAATCACAAGGGTCATTTAAATTTTCCTAATATTCACATTAAAAAATTAAAACAGGTGAAATAGATTGTAACGACATAAACCAATATATCCTGAATATTATCCAGATTATTATCGTTGTGCTAATGTAACCCCAAAAGAATAGTAGCAGGATTTCTTCTTTTTTTTTTTCTTTYAGAGAACTCACTATGGTTTGAAGCTTCATCTTTCTTGTAAATGCCAGGTTTGCAGACTGTTGTAACAGGCTCTGTCTCAAGAGAGCTTGCTGTAAAAACGTTATTATTTGTTTTCCTTGGAAAAACCTGTCTGTCCCAAAAATTTGGGACAAAGACTCTCTGCTATGTAACCACCCACTGTTATGTAAACACTCACTGAAGATGAATCTCAAAGGATTTATCAACCCTGGATCAGAGATTATCCAGCCTTAGTTCCTCTGGACCACTAAAGCTAATCAATCTGCATTGTGCAAATTCCTTGAGACTCAGACCTCATCTGTCCTGCATCAGTTTGACCCATATGAAATCATCAATGAAGCATATGTAGTTTAGGAAGTATATCCCCAAACTCACTGGACTTAAAGCCTCCAGCATATCTCATTTTGTAGCAAACACATTCAAGATTTGACAGCTATAGGTGCCCTGTCCTCTGAAATGTGAAGGGCCTGGTTACCTGTTTTTTATGACAGAGATGAGGGACACAGTTTCTTATTAATAATTCTCCTCCAACCCAACCTACCAGGAGACAGTGCCCTGAGTGAGGACAGGGAAGTGTCCATAGTAGGTCACTCTCTCCCACTGGAAGGTGGCCACAGGTCCATTCCCATTGCAGCTATCAGAGAGCAAACAAAGGAAAATGGGGTCCTAGGAGGTGGGGGACACATGTCTTCAGATCTGTCCACAGACTTGACTCTATTGTTTCAAACATGAAATGAATACTTCTTATTTGACAATTTGGCCTTAGACCTAATGGCCAGGCTATGATGTCTGTTTCATGCTGTGGCCAAAGCCCCATGGCTAATTAGCAGCTGGACTGGGACTCAGCATGAGCTGTACCTTATTCCAAAGCCAAAACCCCTCCACCAGACCAAAGGACTCATGCAACATTGCTTATTCTCAAAAAACTTGGAAAGTGACAAATATTTAAAAAAAAACAGCACTTGTGATTATATGTATATGGAACACAGTTCTATGTGTTACACATCATAGCACAAATGGAACCTTCTTATATACTGAGTCATCATGAGACTCCAATTCCAGGATCCAGGGAAACTTGGTTCAGTTTACATCAAGGGCAAACACCAGCTAGAATTAATCTCAACTCCCCTTTGCAAATAAAAATATAGGCTGATTTTGAAAATGTGGTAGGTTTATGAATTATGGAACAGGCTGCTCTAGAGGGATGTAAAAGACTACCAAGTCCTATGATTCCAAACACAGATGGACATGGGCTATACAGAAATGCAGGGAAAAAAAAACTTCTTTATTGTAGGCATAGAATCAGAGGAGGGCAAGGGGACCTGTGATTATTGGCAGTGCCATGAATCATCTGATATAGGAATCTGGAGTTCAGAGCAGGAAGATTCAACATGTTGTATTTGGGCGTGTGGATGGCATTAGTCCCTATTAAGAAAAGGTTATAGTAAACTTGCAAAAGAAAACTGGTATGAGTGGCAGATAGTGGTGAAACAATTATTATCTGCAAGGTGTCTTCCAGGGTTTTGTCCATGATGGAGCCACAGCACATATGTGTTTTATAGTCTCCATGAGGATCTTCATCCRACTGAGTCCTCCAAAAACATCCCCAATACAGGGAAAACGTAGGCTTCTACATGTCAAATGGCTTCTTGGCAGTATGCATCCCAACTGGGAACTGCCCAGACAGGACTGTATGAAATTCCTTCAAACTTGCTCTTGTAGGGAGAAAACCTCTCTCCTCCATATTTAGAAGTAAGCACCTAGAGAAAACATTCCAGGAGAACCTTTGTCTTAAGAGGCACAGTTGCTTGTCCTTTTATGTTATGGAAGGTCTTCAGAGACAGAGCTGTCACCCCAGGTTCCTCCTAGCGGCAGATGCTTGGAGACTACAGGTGCAACAGAGTACATTACAGGGTCCAGAATCTGACTCGGGGAAGAACAAACCTAAATGACTGAGAATTAACTGAAAGATGACTCAAGCTGATCAGCTGGGAAATTGGAAATGAATGGAACAGTGTGATTTTATTTGCCACATGGACAAGAGATTGGCCAAAAGTAAAAAGGAGGCCAAAGCCCAGGGATTTCTGCCTGCAGAGAAGCAGTTACAGTCAGAGATTTCTGGTGGTAATGTAAGAGCTGCAGCTTCAATGTGACCATGCTCTGCCTGTAGCTACTGCAATGTTACATGTGCATATTCTTTCACTCAGTATTCCCTTTCTTCAGATTCTACCCTCATTAGGAAACCAGTTTACGTTTTCAGGTGAATTGTGTCCCCTCCCTAAATCTCATGTTGATGTTCTAACCACCCAGTGCCTCAGACTGTGACTGTTTGCACATATGATTCTTAAAGACATAATCAATGTTTATCTAGTTATTTTGTGTGGGGCTAATCTAATTAAATCCATTTGTCCCACTTATAAGAAGTGACAATAAGGACACAAAGGAGCATAGAAATAATGTTGTGCAAATGTAGAGACAGAAGATGGTGATACATGTCAGARTGGGTCTCAAAAGAAATTATTCCAGGTCTGGGGTTGTAGCTCAGTAGTAGAGTGCTCGCCTAGCATATGCAAGGCCTTGGTTCAATTTTCGGCAGCAGATAAAAAATAAAAGTAGGGGCTGGGGTTGTGGCTCAGCGGTAGAGTGCTCGCCTAGCTGTGCGAGGTCCTGGGTTCGACCCTCAGCACCACATAAAAATAAATAAACAAAATAATTTTTAAAATAAATAAATAAATAATAAAAGTATTGTGTCCAACTACAACTAAAAAAAATTAATATTAAAAAAAAGAAAATCATTCCAGCAAGCACATTGATGAGTAGCCTCTGGAATTAGGACCAAAGTAATTACTGTCCTTAAGCCCACCATTGTGGCAGTGTCTTATGGCAGCCTTATGAAATGGAGGCAGCCCACTAGGACACACATACTGTCCCTGCAGCACCGCTGACTGAAGATGCAACTGGATCACATCACCTTCCTCCAGCACTGAAAGGCTGAACTGCTACAAGAAATGGCTTTTCTTACTGGAGTATTCTGAAGGCAGGTGAGGAATCAGCTCCTTACCTGGTGGGAACATAGTAATGTGATTTGTGATGCATCACAGTTCCAAAAACCATGCAGCAGAGTTTGACTCCCTTTGTTTGTGTAACCCTCAGTCCTCCTCATGGAAACACTTTCCTGGTAAGGCTACTAGTTTTTAGGTCTTATAGAAGGACTAGAAGCATAGTGGAGTCAACCGCTACATGAGCTACCTGAGGCCAGAAACTGAAGCAAAAACTAGTAACAGTAAAATAAAATTTAAAAAATACCCAATGCCCAGTACAAATTGAAAATGATGCCAAATGCTTTCTTTGTTATTTCTACAAGTGTGTGATCTGGAGATTTATACCTACTATACTGCCAGGGGTAGTAAATACAGTCCAGATTCGTTTTGGAATGAAAATGCAGGTCATTTAAGTGGTAAAGTGCTCAAACAGAATATAGAGAAGTCCTCATACCTGAGTATTGTAACTTGCCCTATCCTGGCCATCTCAAGTACCTGCCTGTGGAAACCCTTCTCCAGAGGGGTCATCTAACCTCAGTCCAAAGTTATTATTGTTGGTTATGTGGTGCGCTTGATCTTTTCTCAAGTAGACACAGTTAAAAATGGCTCCCTGATGATCTGCGTGGCACTGTGCAAACAGATCACCTGACATTCAGTACAACATATAACACTGATGACTCTGGCTAGCCCCAGAGGAAACACTTCCATTTAAAAATTCTATTCCCAGATCAGGAATTTACAAATATACATATAGACCTCCATCTAGGGGTAACACCAGAATAAGAACCCTGTATAAATACCTGAGTAGAAAAATTACTATCCAATGCCTAAATATCCACCCTGGCCAGCCATGCCCAGTGGTAGTAATATGAAAGACCACTAGAGTTCCAGCATCTGGTAATCTCCTCCTGTCATTGCAGGTCCCCTGCAATTCCCCTCTCCCCCACATATACACATACACACACATACACACACACACACACACACACACACACACACAAGGGGAAGGACAAGGACTTCTCAGGTGTAACCACAGAAGGGGTTTTTCTGGATTGGTCGTCTCTGGCCCACCCTCTTTTATCTGTGGGTGCTTCCTGATCGATGGCCATAGGGTCTGGTGTTTGGCCTTATCAACATCTACAAATGCTCCCATTCTGGACATTTTTGTGGCTACAACCTTGGAAGTTTTGGACACATGAAGAAAACAGCTTGCTCTCTTGAGCATCTTCCTTCATGGGAGCTGGA